CACCACAATCTATCCTCCAAGACCGGATGTGCCATATTCATCCTTAAAAGCTCTATTGATCCTGGCCTGTGGTCATCTATCCCCATGTGACAGCCCCTCTGCTGTGGAAAACCTTATTCTTGACCTAATAGGTGGAGTGGTGCTTCTATTTCCTACCTCATTTGTATGTTATCTAAATACTGTCTACAAAGGTTTTAGAAAAATAGAACTGCCAGCTAACCCTCATATAAAAACCATGATTATATAGTAGACATGTAAGCCGCAGAAAAATTCGGTTCGGATATTTAATTATTTTGGGATTCGAATCCGAAATTCAATTCGGTTCGGGTTTTGGTTTCGGACGAAATCCGAATTTCGTTAGTTTCGGATGAGTTTACAAATATTCATTGCGAATACCACAGAAAACCATATACAGATATTAATACTAAACCTGAGGCTCCCAGACCTGAATGGCATTCAGGAGTTCAAATATAGAAATACAATTCGGGAGCTCCAGAAAACAATACGGGTCTGGGAGCAAATATTAAAGCTGAGGCTTCCAGACCCGAATGGCATTCGGGAGCTCTTGAAGGCTACACGAAAATTTGGACTCCATTCGTGTCTTGGAGCATCAGTTTTAGTATTATGTATGTATAAGTAGTATTCTATAATAGTATGAATATTGGTAGCGGCAACATTGTGATCCATTGGTATACATAAAAGTAAACCTGAGGCTCCCAGACCCGAATGGCATTCGGGAGCTCCCGGGTGCAAAACGAAAATTCGGATTCAGACCCATTTGGATGCATTAAACCGAAAACCACATCTGATTGGCCAGAAAAGTCACATGTCCGATACAACTGGATCCAAAATTCGAAAACGGAAATTCTGATTCAGACGCATTCGGATGTATTGGGATTCGGAAATTCGGATGTGTTTGAATGTCCGAATTTCAGAAAATTCATAGGAGTTTTGATTCGGAACGAAACGAATCGCACATGTCTATTATGTAGAACATATTGATCAATCCAACGCCCCTCACCACCACAACACAATCAGTTGACAGAGGTTCTCACCCTTCCTTACTCTTTAAAAAACTAAAAACAATTATTTGGGTTAATGATGCACCAATTAAAATACTTCCCCAATAAGGAAGTGTGTGATAGATGTTACCTAATATATGTAATTAAATCAATGACTTTGGATTGTACATAAATTGATTTCCTTCTCAATTGCTACATGCTTGGTTTCCTAAGCAGGTCATACTTCCTTGTTATACCAGCTACACAGCATACATGGTAAGGAAATTAAGTACAGATCCCAATACAACTTCAGTAGTGCCAACAAATTGTTAAACTAAAGTATCCCTAAAGCCAAAACTTTTTGTTTATTTTCTGTTTGTGTCTCATTGGAGAAATTTGATTTAATTTCCTGTATATGGAAAAATTAAAGCTTAATGGTCTCGCAATTCTTCAGAATGTCCGGAGCCTACCAAGACAAAAAGAGCATTAATGGGTTTCAAAGACTACAAGGGATTATATTAACGTATACATTCAGACAGAATTTATATAGTCTTTGAAAAAGGTCTTAAATTTCCTGCACCAGAGACGCAACAGGAAGTAAGCAGAAATGTCTCCAAAATGAGGGGAATCTCCTCTTAGACAGCTGTCATCAGATTAGGTGTCCCCATTGGAAGATCTGCCCTCTATTTCAGTATAGTGACAACTTGCTTTTGGGTTGTTACTGGTGGCCTGAATCACCCAGGGGTCTTCTTCTTCAAGAGTTCATGAGTTTGCCAAACCCACCTCAGAGTCTCTCATCTCCCCCTGCGTTCTTCATAATATGAACTGAATGAAAAGTCTAACATGTAGAGAGCTCCTGTCATAATGTCTCTGACCGATGGGTGGAGGTGGGAACTCAGACCCAGAGATTTCACTTCTGGGTTTACCGAAAGATATAAGAACCTGGCAGGAGATTCAGCTCCTCACCTCAGTATTCAAAGATCAGTTTTGGTTTGGCTTGGCCCTTTAATCAAACCAGTTCTACAGTTCCAGACATATCTCAGTTTATTTTCTCATTAGAGGAAGCCACTTTTGGCTAAACACATTTTTTTTTTTGTTCTGCCTGATTATACCATACACATACAAATGTGTCAAGTCTACTGAGAAACAATTCATGGAAACAATTCATGGGGTACCTGTTATTTCAAACTGTATTCTCTGACTTGGCCCCTTGATGTCTGGAAACAGTGGTAGCTAATTGTAGATTACTACAGGCATTTTATATAGCACTGGCAATTTTACGCAGCTCTGCACATTCACATCAGTCCCTGCCCTCAAGGAGCTTACAATCTAAGGTCCCCATCTCACATGCATACATTCAATTTCTAGACATGAGCCAAATAACCTACCAACATGTCTTTGGAGTGTGGGAAGAAACCGAAATACCCGGAGGAAACCCACACAAGCACAGGGCGAACATAGCGACCTGGCTGGGATTTGAACCAGGGACCCTCAGTGCTGCAAGGTCCACTACTACACCGTTAACCACTAACCGCTAACCACCACGCCACCGTGCTGCCCCAACTTTGAATGATTATCACAGGCCCACATTTTGGGGAACATTGCCTCCAAAAAACCCAAAAAAAACAGACATGGGTAAATAGCTAATACAATAGAATATTACAGTGTAACATTGCCATGAACTAACTCTGTGCTCTCTTTCCAGTTTGCCATTTTATTAACTTGAATCATGTTATGATTACATAATGGATTTACATTTTTTGTTCATGAGGAAGTCACCTGATATATTAGGAAAATTCACAGAAAACGCACTGCCTGTTCTAAAAATAGAGGAAGTTACTTTTCCGGATTTGGCACATCCTCTGCTGATATATAAATGGAGAAGAGGCAGAGATGGTCATCACATCTAAGGACTGGTGGAACCAAGACTTCAGTCCTTCTCCTCCCAGCCTTGGTCTACTGGAAAGAAGATATCATTCTGTGGTAATGTCATGCTATGTTTATTACATTGATTTAGTTTTCTTCTCTTATATTTAATCAATCGCAATCCAGTTATAATCAATGATGGATTGTTAGCATGATATACATTGTATCCCACTATTATATATACCAGTTGTGGAGTGTTACAGTTTTCACTTAATTGATATTGTACATTTTATATAATTTTCATTCATTATCTATCCATATACATTTTCCATTTCTATTTAATTATTTTCACGATTTACTGTTTAACCATCCGCATTATTCACCATTTAATTATTCACATGACATACAATTAATTGATATTGTATTTGTTGCCTACAAATATCACATTTATATCACCCTATTTTATCTATCCGTATACAATTTTCTATTTCATTCTATTTAATTATTTAACGCACTTACTTTCATGAGTGAGAGATAAAGTTTTCAGCGCTGTGCATTTTTATATCGGATATGCAATCCAGGGCCATTTTCACTTTTCAAGACTTTTCAGTACAACAACTTTGTCATTACTTAAAGCAGAACTGAAGAGGGGAAAAAAGCAGAAGAAATAGAAGTGGCTTTGTATGTTCCTTCTGCCAAAAACATAGACCACAATCTCCGCTGTCAGACTGATAACTCTGCTTGCTGCTATATACTACGCTGCTATCTCCAGCAGGGTTATTCACTAAAGGGTGAAGAGTTTGGAGAAGGAAGGAGAAGTGAACAATCTAGGACAACATAGCTGATTTAGAAAAATTCTCCAGTTCAGATCACTTTCCAGTTCAGCTATGTTTTCCTAGATTGTTCACTTCTCCTGCCTTCTCCAAACCCTCCACCCTTTAGTGACTAACCCTGTAGGACGTACCAGGTACGTCTTAGATACATCATTGGTTAATGCTGACAGTTTTTCCACAGCACTCTACATTCAATCATTCACAATGGTTCCAAAGGCTCATGACCCTACCATGATCTAGTGAGCATTCTGAGGGACACATTTAAACCCTTCCCTCTGAAGTTCAAAGTGACTCTTACCACCAACCTCAACATCACTGCGATAAGCAGGACTCGCATTAGGGGCTTTCTATACTTTCTATGGTATCTACACTGTATATGTTTTACATGTTCTCTTCATCTTCATGTCCTATGTTCTCTTGTACTGAACCAGTATATGCCACACTAAAGAAGCACTATCATCTTCTCCTTGTAGTTCCCTAGCTAGGGATAAAGATTACTTAGATTCTCCCTAAGCCTGTTGACAAATTTTCCTGATTGTCATTCGTAATGGTCAACAAATGTATGTATCTGGGCCTAAAGGTCTTTGTCAGGGAGGTTTTCCCTCACTTCCTGTACCCGGAGAAACAGCAGGAAGTAAGAGAAGACCTCTCTAAAACAAGGGGTATCCCGTCTTAGTTGTCTCCAGTGCAGGTTTATCTGTTAGAACATTTCTTTTGACCCCCTGTTCTAACTATACATTTTTGGATTTTCCATCACTTTTATGCCATGGTGACAATGGTCGCCAGTGCCAACAGAGAGAGTAAATCTCCCCAATGGGATACAGACAGCAACAAACTTTTTTTAGAATGTTTAGGTATATATGTGAAGGTGACCAACTTAACATTATTAGTTAGTATGAGTGTTTTGTAAACATCTAAAAAATTTCATATTTCTCACTTACAGCCAACAGGTGGCGTACTCGAGGCAGATCTTTACACTTGCTCTGAGCAAGGTGTAATTAGATTTCCTGTTGTTCAGCTTTGTGCACACGACACAATACACATAATGTACAGCCTTTTTTCTTGTCTCTTGCTCATATGGATCTGCAGTTGAAAAGAGACAGTCAAAAAGTGAGCAGGCAGTGCTGGATTTCATTAGAAAGCCCAGTATTGTCTTCAAATTATTATGGAAGCACCTATGAAACAGCAAGGACCTAAAAATATGAAAGATCTATCTGCTGAATATACATTATTGTTTTCCTTTAAAGTTTCATGCAGACAGCAAATTTTACAACAATATCTTTCTTTTTTATTTAGACTGGAGTTACTAAACATTCTGGTCCCGCTGTCCTCTCCAGGGGCCGACGTTCTACAGTGAGCCATGATTGTCGTCTGTGTTTTCCTCGTTCTTTGCTGTAATTTGGTCCAGAGTCAGTTCCCACGGGCCTGCACCACAGCTACTGCACTTCGGACCAAATCCTGTTGCCCCCTTTGGAAGGACGGCAGCCCCTGTGGCTCCCGCTCGCGCCGTGGCCAATGCCGTAACCGGGTTGTATTTGCTACCTTTGCAGCTGGCCAAGTGCGCCAATATGATGATGACCGCCTGGGCTGGCCAATGTATTACTACGACAGAACCTGCGAATGCTTCGGAAACTACAGCGGCTATGACTGCGGCGACTGTAAGTACGGGTATTTCGGAGAAAAGTGTGACCGCAAGATCACTGTTGTACGTAAGGAAATTCGAGAACTTTCTTTGCTGGAAAGGAAAAGATTCTTCAGCTACTTGGTGATGGCCAAAACTACAATAAGTAAGAACTTTGTCATCTTGTACACCGGAGATCGCCATCATCAGGACACATACCGCTTTGTCGATGCCTCCATCTATAATGTCTTTTCCTGGATCCATTACTACTCCACAAAGCCAATTCTGATAAATGGAACCTTTAATAGTACCACAAACTACGCCCATCAAGGTCCGGCTTTTCCCGGTTGGCATCGGCTGGGCCTCCTCTTCCTGGAGAGACAAATTCAGCTCTTGACGGGGGATGAAAATTTTGCCATTCCTTATTTCGACTGGCGAGGAGAGAAAAACTGCTCAATCTGCACCGACGACTTCGTCGGTGATAACGACGTGCAAGGGTTTCTCAGTGAATACTCCCATTTCGCCTTTTGGAAAGTAAGTGGGTTATCTATAATACTTTTAGGCCATTATTATTTTTTTTGGTTTAAAAATGTAACTGTTGTTTTATATCTCTTTTTACCTGTATGTATAGAGTGTATATTTCCAGCCACACCTTAGAGATAGAATATCTCTCTACATCCCACATAATCTGGGTACCAACATCCTATGAGGAGACAGTAAAGGGTATTCTGCATATCTTATCTCAAATTTTTCCTCACCTTTTGTACACCATGCTAATCGACACTGTATATGTAAAGACACTGCCCTTAGTATGTTCTGCTATAATGAGTTTGGACCCAAGCCCCAGTTGCAGCATGGCATATACACATAATATGGGCAAATATGGACACTTGACCATCACACACCCTGGGGAGTGCATCATCACCCAGGCTGGGCTCACTATATGAGCGATTTCAAGAATTGTGAGAAATTTGAACTTCAGCAAATAATCATTCATCCATCTCTACTAACAAGGCTATTCATATTTCCCTTCTTTAGTCTATATGCAGCGGGTACGACTATGATGAAGCTTACTGCTTGGGTGCTGATGACCAGAATCAGATGCAAAAACTGCACAGAAAGCCTGGAGTTGATCCTGTCGCCTCTAGCCTACCCACCTTCAAAGACGTAGAGGACACTCTGAGATGGAGTGATTTTGACCTCCCTCCCTACAACAGACTGGCAAGGAGAAGCTTCCGTAATGTCTTAGAAGGTGGGCAACAATTATTGTAACTTTCCCTTTTTTTTTTTTAATACAGGAAATGAGTGCAAATCTGTTAAAAGTGAAGGCAAGTTAGACAGTTGTCACTAAAACCGATCAAAGGTTTTTCCCTGCGGTTTTGGTGACAACCATAACATTTTGGATTTCCCATCACTCTCTGTCGCAGTGAGAATGGTCAAATACTGTAGAAAGGTTGAGAAATAGGCAACCTAATGAGGGTTCATATGATTTCCTACTCTATACAATATGTACAAAAAAATATTTTAACTGAATTGTGACATGTTGGTGAAAGGGAACATCCCCCCACAGGATGAGAAATTCTAGTTCCTGTGCATGTTCCTCACATTTGAAGCCATAGGGGGTGCCATGAAAATCCATGCTACAGAAATGATTTTACATATTTAATAGGTTATTGTTATATGGCCATTATAGTTACAGATAGTAATGATACCCATACCCATTTCTGTTTTCAATTTGCCAAACTCATAGTTACCTTATAGAACGTAAGACCCAATAAGGTAATAGCGAAAATGTTGGTGTTTAAGGAAACTTAAACAGAGGAATGTAATATTGTATTAACTTCAAATGTGCGATCTTTGTAGGTTTCCTAAATCCATCCGATGGGGTAACACGACAGCGCGGCATGCATAACTTGGTCCATCTGTTCCTCGGTGGGACGATGTCCGAGGTTCCAATCTCCAGCAACGATCCTATATTTGTGCTGCATCATTGCTTTATTGACAAGTAAGTTTTAGGTTTAATAGTTTCTAGCAGAAATTGAAAAAGTAAAAATACAAGTATAACACGTGGACTTCAAGAACATGCATAAAAGTGCAACACAGTTCAAAACAGAATGGTCTCTGTATCACAAGGGATGCCCAAAGGGCCTCCATATATGCAAATCATTATCAGGAATGGAGAACAATGGAGTGGAGCCTGCCCATCAGCCTGCTTGTAAAGGATATGCCAAACCCAACATTGGTAAATTACCTAACAGTGGGAGGACAAGCTTGCTAGATATTACTTACATCTACAAATCAATGCTCCAACTTCCAATACTGACTGAACCCTGCAGTGATGTAGGGGTCAGAGGGAGAATCCATATCCTGTTTCCTGTAAACCAGTAACCAGTATCCCGTTTCTGCCTTGGACCCTGACTCCTGACCCTTACCCCTGAGGTCTCCCGATCTGTGGCTCCTGGCCCTTGCATATAGTGTGGCTCTTATTTGTTTCTTGCGGGTGGTGGTGGGATTGCCTGTGTTTATGTGGTTTGCTATATCCATTAAACTATCATTCACAAAGACTGTTGCGGTATCTGCAGTCTGGTCACATTTTCGGTTCACCTGTATAGGTACCTGCACGTGGTGTTGGGACACCCGTGTTCGGTATTGTGACACAGACACTCTCAGAAACATAGAATGCTTGTGAGGCTTTCAGAGGCTACAGTGCAGGAACAGAGAAGTAGAATAAATAGGCAGGAAAGGTGAGTATACTGTCTCGTGTTGCAGGGAAGTACCAGTTTGAAATCCTTAGCGAACTGACAGGGCCTCTAATTTGAAGTATCCATGTTGATATAAAAAATTTAGGAAATGTACCATGTTTTTTTCTTAGTTATATTTTTGTCTGCAGTTTACATATCTTTACATATTCATAAATATTTGTAGGATCTTTGAAGTATGGATTCGCAGACACAATGCAACTCCAGATGATTACCCTGAAAATGACCAACGAGGCCAAGGTCCCAATGAGTGCTCCACTCCGTACTTCCCGTGTTACAGGAATAAAGACTTCCTACGCCATTCTAACAACTTTGGATACACCTACTCCAGATACCAGGGGATGTAATGCTCCATTGAAGCAAGTCTCATGAGATTGGAGTCTGCTCTTCCCTTTGTGTGATGAACAACCCCTTCATATGCCCGTGTGACCTCTCAGCAAGCTCTTTTTCATCCAATTTTGTCCAATCATCTAACTTCAAATACCCTCTGTGCTGACTTTACAGAGTAATTATGTAAATCATAACACAATCTAACTGAAAGACGAAACTAACTAAAGGAAACCTTCTAGTGGTTCCTCATATTAGAAACTTTTGTGTGTTTGTGTTGATGAGTGCCTCAAGTGAAGAACTATGTCTGATCATCACTCAAGGAGGGGGAGGTCAAATTCCCTGAAGCCCATTGGTGGTACTCCTTTTACCAATTACCAGTAAAGTCTGGAACCACTTTTTTCATATGATTCTTGACTTAATGAGCTCCTCAGTGCACACCCAGGCGCACTGTTTTTAGGTCATTGTGAAAACTCTTTTTCTCCAATTACAGCACTGGGAATGATCATGTGACTCTACCAGGAGGACTCTTTCACTTATATATATCACTTATATATTTAGAAGGATTTGTGACAGGGTTGTATTTGGGGTAGTTATTTTATTTAGGGGATCAGCCTGAGGTGGTTGCCTTAGGAGAAGGCATCTCTTTGAGGAGGCAGCAGGTGTGTCGGGGGGCAGCAGAGAGGCAGCCACAGTGTCCCAGGTTACTAAGAGCTCTTAGCAAACTGTGACACTCTTTCCAGCTTTCTCTCCAGGTCACTGAGGTCATCGGTTGCCAGGGAGCTGAGCTGGACACTCTAGCTGGTGTCTTGCAGGGCTTCTGATGTCAGTGAGCTGACAGAGAGCCATTGACAGCACGGCTCTTACACAGCCACCGACCACTATCAGCAAAGCACCCCCCCAACCCGTGAAAGACTATCCTATCAGCAGCACCTCCACCGCTCCACATAGGGTTGCCACCTGTCCAGGATTCACCCGGACAGTTCGGGTTTTGGATGCTGTGTCCGGGTTTCATGGCAGCAGAAACCCGGACACAAGATGTCAGGCAGACAGGGGCAACCAAAATTAAGATAGAGGCTACCGGCCCTTCACTGTACAGTCTCGACTGTGATATTTACCTATGAATGGGTGGCGCTATTCACATATGAATAAGCCACGACTCAAAAAAAAATTCTGCTCGTCGCTAGAGTGTTGAAGAAAAGGTGGCAACCCTAGCTCCACAGCCCCAGGCAGCATATAGGGTCCGCCCCGGCCCTGTATCGGACTATTTATCAATGTTTTTAATCAAGATTCACACAAATTTCCCATAAGATTATTACACAAAAATGTATAAATCTTAGGTAAAAATGTTGATAGACCCCTAGTGTTCTTTGTAATTGTATTTTGATTGTTATTTCTATACTGTTGTTTTAAATTCAGTTTGACTTTTTTTGCCACTTTCTGTTTTTTTTTCCATTACAATAAACAAAAAAAATAAAATGATTAGGCTAAATAGGGGCCATTTTCCAGGTCAAGTTCAGTTAAGTAAAATTAAGCTTCTGTAATCATTATTAGCCATTTAAAGTTTACTGCACCCTTAAAAAAAATCACCTTAACTATTGATTGAAGTGCATTTTACCAAATTTTCTGACATTTTCACCGTGTTATTAGCGGTTGGCATTTTAGAAAACAAAGGAGCGCCGTGTGTCTTTTCCAGCTCCGGTGTCTCAATGATCCTTTTCGTTGGGTTTATTGATGTTTTGTATATGCTTGAACAATCTCTTTACCTTGACTTCCAATTGTGTTTTATTTTCAGTTTACTACAATGTAATTTATTTTTGAATTAAAACATTGTTTAGATTTGGTATTAAGTATGTTGTCTGTACTTTGTTCATTGAATTTCAGTGGGGTGTGCCAATTGTGCAGTGCAGGAGGAGCACAAAATCCATGTAATGAGTAGAAATGGCCTTCCACATGCACGTGAAGCCAACATTCTCCAACAGCTAGAAATGTATGGGTAACCTGTAAACATGAAATGCTGCTACCAGAATAGTTCCAGCCAAAAGTCATATTGAAGGTTGCTAAAGAAAAATAATTATTGTGTGTTACTAATTATTAACATATGACAATGTTAATTGGTTATATGGGCTCTTTATATAATAACAGGTTGGCTTGCTAGAATGACTTTGCCCAAACAAATGTTGCTAGTACAGATGGCTGTTCTTAGAATGCCTTGTTGTGTAATGTGGAGACAGTTAGTCTTCTTGTTCTACACTGAGGTACACTGCCTGACCAAAGATGACAATGCCAGGATTCATTGGGCTCACATTGTGAAAGAGTGGTTCAGGGAGCATGAGGCATCATTGTCACACATGGATTGGCCACCACAGAGTCCAGACCTTATCCCCATTGAGAATCTTTGGGATGTGCTGGAGAAGACTTTACGCAGTGGTCCGACTCTCCCATCATCACTACAAGATCTTCATCCCTGGACAGAAATAAATGTTGTGACATTGCATACGCTTATCGGAACAATGCAAAGTCCAATGTGTGCCGTAATCAAAGCTAAAGGGGGTCCAATGGAATATTAGAGTGTGTGACTTTGTTTTTTGGACAGGCAGTGTGTTTGGGAGTCTGGAGGTCGGTCAAGCTGATCGGGTGTTCTGAGATAATAGAAATTAATGTCTCCTGTAAATGAATGATGTGCTGCTTGTGTAAATCATTAAGTCAATTAAGTTAAGTCAAAGTCACGATTGGGTGGTTTGCATATAATTAGAGGTGGGACAGCCGAGGAAGGGGGTGTTATCTGGATGGGAGCACCCAGAATGGTCATGTGTGATAGTCTCCCACTAACTGGGATGAAGATGTTGGTCATCATGTTGTCGTAGCCTTGCAGCCCCAGCCATTCATTCAATTGTTCCTAGTTACCCTGGGGTGATGGGTGGATGGGGACCCCAACTGTGCTTTGCACAGTGCTGTCAGTCTAATACAGAGATAATGCTTGCAGGGAGGGACAGCAGGGAGGACATCAGTCATATGCCGCTAATCTTTTTCTGTCCAGTCACAGGCTGCACGAGTTCTGGACCACGATGTATTGGACCAGGTTTAGGCATTACATATGCTGTATAACGTATCTGTAGCAATTGTTTCTACTGTTGGATGGAGCTGGGAACAGTCTCCTATATTTTTTTTATGGTTCTGCTAAGAGCGATTTCTCCTCACTTCTGGTTCTGGTTATAATGGTGCCAACAGGACAGAAAGGAAGTTAAAATCTCTCTAACATGGTCACTAATTCAAATCAAACCACTTTTGTATTAGTAGCACAACAGTGTACCGTATATACTCGAGTATAAGCCGAGATTTTCAGCCCATTTTTTTGGGTGAAAAGTGCCCCCCTCGGCTTATACTCGAGTCAGCGCCAGCGCGTCATCTTACTTACCTCGCCGAGCGTCGCGTCACTGCTGCTCGGTGTGCGGCGCTCCGAGCGGGGTCATCTGGCAGTCTCCGGGTCCTAATTTAGGTGGCCGGAGACTGCCAGATGACCCCGCTCGGAG